GGTCTTAAAGAAACTGAAAAAACCAGAATTCCGCCTCAAGTGCTTTATGAAGCAATATTTGGAAAGACAGAAGCAGAGGAAATTATTAACAGAAGAGCACTAATAAAAGGGTTAATTACGAACAAAGTAGAAAAAAGAATCAGTCAGATGTTAGACAAACAGGCAACACAAAGATGTATAGGAATAACAACAAGAACAGTATGGAATACTTTTTATGACCAAGTATAGAGAGTTTGATGTGGAAAAGTGCAAGAATGGGAAAAGAAGATGAACATAATAAGCAAAATGAAGAAAGGCACTCGAATCAGAAAAAAGTTAGGAAAAAAAATAAAGAAAGATGAATGGACAAAAGAAGAGGAAAAAGAAAAGAAAATAGAAAAAATAAACTGAATGAAGAAGGAAGCTAAGAAGACAATTGATATGCTTGTCACAGAAGAGGGAAGACCTTTCTGGTATGGCTTTAAGTAGTTAGACGAGCAGTCTATTTCTAACTGAGATAGTGCGGCAGGTTGCACTTAGATATCATTAGGATGGCCGAGTGATGCTAGACTTAGGTATTAGGAAATTTTATGTAATTATAAATGTATATAGTTTCAAGAATCTTAATAAAATACTAGTGTAACTGCTTAAGGTTAAAAAAAAAAAATATATATATATATATATATATAACACTTGTACAAGACTCTTTATATAATATACAAAAAATTAGAGTAGATTGTAAGAGACTCCAGGTACTCTTGAAATAAGGTAATCTATACATAGCTAATATTCATGTAATCTTTATAGTTGATATAATCAAAATGCAGAAAGCAGGCACTCATCGTTTAGTAATACTAACTAGAAACATCTAAAATTAATACCTAAATAATGTCTGTAGTTAACTCTAAGTATTATGTGATCATTTATACTACCATGCCAAGAAATATAGATTTAGACATTCAAGGTATATACATAAGCATATATTTAATAAATTTGTTAAGTAAAAAATATATAAAATTAAGATCTACTAAGTTTAAATATATAAGTGTTAATAAGTTAATCTGTCTTTTTATTCTATATATCTTCAATGCATATAAAGAAATATTTCAAACTATATATTATTATACTAGTATAGTTATAAATATATATATAGTTAATTTTCCTTTGACATATATTTTTTTAAAATTTTATTATCTAGGTTAATTCATACTTGCATCTTATGTAATGAAAGAACACAAAAATTATCTAAAAAATTCTGCTCAAATAACTTTTTTGGTTTTTCTTTAGGCCATCTATGGCTAACAGAATGCTTTAATCATTTGTGATTTGTTAAGAAAGTGATAATTGAAAAGTATTTTTTACATTCAAGATAACAAAAATGTAGGTAGGTTAGTTTGTCAAGGAATAGATAATGTAAATCATATTTAGAAATTTTTAAGCGATCATAATATTTAAGAAGGTGAATTGGATTTACAAAATGTTTGTCTTTTGCTTTAGTAACAGAAAGCAAAAAACCACTATTTAATTGAAGAAAATCTATAACTTCACTTGTATGAGGTAGTCTATAACAACTCATGTCTGTATACTGTTTAATATTAAGAGAGTATTGGCACAAGTTACAATGATTTTCAATTTACAACTATAGGACAAAGCATTTTACTAAGTTATTTTTTTTATCATTTTGATCTTTTTGTTTTTTTTTGTTACTTTTGTTTTTCTATATTTTCTTTTCTATACTCTCAAATTGCAGATCTTTAAATAGATTAATAGTTTCTTCAACATATTTCATATTCATCTGCTTTTCAAAAATTAAATCATAATTCCAAACATTACAAAGAATTTTATTAGCATTTCTAAAATTCTGAAAAGCCAACTCTGAACATATCATATTTCTTTACGTATCTAAATGTTTACCAAAGTGATTGATTAGTAGTATAATACCTACTAACTTGCCAGATAGAGTTGTCATACCCCTTTCAACAGAGTTGTATTTGGATTGGCCAGATGCATATGTTCTTACACTTAAGTAATCTAAGTTGAATTTTTTAAAAAATTGACAATAAATTTTTATATTTTTAAATGCTTCAGATTCTCATTTAGCCCTTCATCTACTAATAACATTTAAACAGATTGAATTTCTTCATTAGTTTTTAACATATCATCATATTGAGTATCTTGAATAAAACATTCTAGATTCTGCCTATATGTAAGTGCAAATGTACCAAGAGACCATTAATGATGTACAAAAATAACAAGTTGACCTGTTCTTAATTCATCATTTGTTTTATTTGGTTTGATCATAAGATATACAGATAGAATTAATAATTGCCCAAACTCTGCTGGAAAATTATAATCTACTATCCTTATAGGCTTATTAATCGATTGTAACATGTTAAACATTTGACCTACTGCAGGCATATCCAAATCTATCTTTGCTTTGTTATCTTGAAAAATGATGACACTCACCTTAGCAAAGAAAAAAGCAAACTGCTTTATACTTTTAACTAATGCAAGGCAATAGTGCCTATCAGGATGGTCTTGCATTTCTATATGCGAAATACTAACAACTGCAACTTATGCTAGATAGTAATTGCTCTTGCTGCAATCGAGTTGGCTTGGCAAAGTAGCAGATAGTTATTTAATTTGATTCTTGTTATACGTATAGGCATTATAATTTTTCTCAAGATTTTTTTGCAAATGTTTGATTATTTGTACTTTAACTACTTCTTTCCTTCATTTTTTATTAGCTGCTCCAAACTCTATAAAGTTATGAATATGTTCATACAAATTCGGATGCTCAAAAAGAAGTAGAGGACAATCTGGTTTGTTATATTGTATTACTTCTTGACTTTGGTTAGTAATCTTTTTTTTTTATCTTTACACTTTTGTATATATTTTGTATTTTTTTGTAAATTAATAATCTTTTCTTTATTATTTTTAATATCAGTTTGAACATCTTTTATTTTTTTACAAATATCATAAAGAAGCTTAGAATCAGTTATAATTTTATATATTTGTTCAAATTTTGAAAACTATTTCTCTGCATTTTTTATTTCATCTGCTGCTTTTTTTTGAGCTGAAGCATTAGCAAGAATTTTTGGTATCAAATATACTAAATGAACAATAGGAGTAGAAGGCAGAGTCAGGTCTTCTTGAAATGTAAAACTTTTGGTTGCATTGTTTGTATATCATAAAGATTAAATGGCATAGCTAGATAATTTCTGATTATATCATTTATTTCTATTTTATTTTTATTTTTAATCTTATTCTATTCTTGGGCTATTTCATGACAAACATTAGCACAGTTAGGAGTACTATTTCCTGTTTTTATTATGTAACTATATATATAAGCATTAGAAAATTTCTAAAATTTATTTGTTAGTGATCTATAGATCAGTTTCTTATTAAATCTTGAGCTAAACAAAAAGGTTTGATGACTTATTTTAATATAGATCTTTAAAGAGTTACAATTTTGGTTGAATATATTAAAGATATGATAGATTCTAAATATTAAGTTATTTTATTTTATTGGCTTTTATAATTTTTTTTTTGCATCAAAAATTCATATTACAAATGACTAATATTGTACTTTATAACAAAACTTCTCAAATTCTTTATTTATTTATTTTTTTTTTTGCTTGTTTATTTTTATATATTTACTAATTTGTTTTAACTACTTTTACTTTATATGCACCTATTGTAACAATTGTTATTCTACTACATTTACTTCTAATGTGGATTTGAATTAAAAAGCCTTTCAACAAAAGCAACAAAAAATAATTATTAGGGATTAGATAATTTTATTATATTGTCAGTTTAGTTTTTTGTAGACTGTCTTTGTAAGGGCTGTTGCATTGTCTTGTTCAATATAAGTTTTTTTTAGTCAAGATTATGATTATTAAGAGTAAGCTGATATAATAATAGCATTAGTTAATTAGTAATAAAAATAAGGGGCATTATCATATAGGTTTAAAACACAGAATTAATAAAAACAGAAGGGAAAAGGCAATTTTGTAAAGCAGTGTGTTTGAGATGATGTTTTAATAGAAAGAAACTATACTTGGCAGTTGATTTAGAAGATAAAATATAATAGTAAGTAATGTCTGGCTCTATAGCTGCAAAAGCAGAGCAAAGATCCTTTTTTGGTAATATTTAGGTTCTAAAGCTGCAATAGTAATGCATAGACCTTTTGGCTTTTAGTAATATTCAGGCTTCATAGCTGCAGTAATAGTACAAAGACCTTAGCAGTTAGGTTCTATGATTGCAGAGCAGTGCAAAAACCTTAGCTATTATACTTCATAGCTGCAATAGTAGTACAAGAATTCTCATTAAATATACTTTAGTTTTTGCAATGAATATTAATACAAAATATACTTGTTACTTAAAACCTGAAACCTTTCTGAAACTTTAAAATTGGAATATTAATAATTAATATATATTTACTATAAAGTAACTAAAATTTTTCTGAAATGTGATCTAATTATACTATACTTTAAGTTTTAATATTTAAAATTAAATTTCTAAGCTTTTTAGTATAGTATTAGAGTTTCAGAAAGAATTTCAGGTTTTGGTTTTAGGATTTTATAAATAGTTTCAAATTTCAGATAACAACTTTATTGTGAGCTATGAAATGAAATCTCTAAAGCACATAATAGAAGATATTGATGATAGTGCAGTAATGGCTATGTTCTAAAATGGGTTTCCTAGAATTATTAGTCATAAAAGTCATTTAGGACTATTACCAAGTATAAGGATTATAGTAGTAATACAAGTTTTAAGAAAAAACAATAATTAAAGAGATATATAATAATTGAGAGCTTTAAGTAATATAGAACATTAAAGGATATATATAAGATAATATATTTAATATGTTTAAGAGCTATAGGAGTGCATATATAATAGAACAATATATAATAAAGATTTTAAGCTTTATATAATAAGTTAGTTTTAGTGCTTATAATAAACTTTGATTCTAATACTTTCCTGCCTTCAATACATTGTAAAATCTATGATCATAAATACTACTTGCCAAATCTAACTGCCTCTTATTGACTAAGCTATTTATAGATTATATGATATATTTATTTGACAAATGACTGACTTGTTATATTGCTCACTCATATCACTATATGCTTAGGAATTATAAGATTGTTAGAGATTGTGTTATGAGTTTATTTTTTGTAGACATAGATATATTGAAAGTGGGTAATAGCTGGCTAGTTTCAGTAAAAATATATTTAGTTATAATAGTTATATAGATTATAATAATAGTGAATAAATTTTATGTTGATATATATGTTTGCTTTTATTATTTAATAAAGTCACCTAATTAAAGATTCTTACATGCAAATATGAATTATAATTTTTATAATTTTTTAATTTTTCGATGACTATCATGCATAAATTAAATAGTAAAAATAGCTATGTAAAATAGAGTGATTATTCAATTTCTAATTGAAATGCATTGCTGTAATAAATTATTTAGTACTATGCAAGGTGATTTGTTATAAAAATTTTGTTATAGATCATTTTGCTACAAAATTTTAGTAATACTTACAACATAGATCATAGTATATATTTCAAGTATTTTCTTAAAAAAATTATATTATTTGTATTTAAATACTAACTTGAATTGTCTATTGAAATATATTGTATTTAAAGTGCTATAGTCTGCATTATATAGTATATTAATTGCTATACTGTTGAAATTTAAAGTATAGTATATTATATAACTTATTAATTTTATTTTATATTTATATATAATATATAGTTTTGTTTTTTATTTATTAAATTATATAATATTATTTTTAAATGTTTTTATTAGCTATTAGTTATCTTACTTGAGGGTAGAAAAGTAGATGCTTATAATAATATAATATTAGATAATAAATATCAGCACCCTAACTAGTTGTATTATTTAATATAAAAATAATTTATTTTAAAATATTATATTTATATTTGTATATAGTTAAACTTTGAAGTACAAATAAAAAATTAAATATACTTATTTAAGATCATATGATTAAACTTTATTATTAGCTAATTACAACATAGTGTACATTAACTCTAATTAGTTAATTATTAAATATATAGTTATATATATACTGCATATAACAATCAGTAATATAAATTATATATACACAGTAGACATAGCATATATAAACTTAAATTTGCATATTTTGTTAAAAATAATTAGCATTTTGTATATATTATAATTTTACTTTATATATATATAACATTTTTACATATATTTTTAAACTAGATTTTTTTTTTTTTTTTTTGCTTTCACTAAAGCTATTAGTTATTAGTGGCTACTGTTTTATTATAATTTAATATAATTATATAACTTATACAAAGTAAGTATACAACTAGCAAAACTTTTTCAGCAACTCTTTCTACAGATCACTTATACCAAATTTTTGCTAAAAACATTTAATTATTTCTAATTATTTTACTAAGTTAACCTTACTTATACCATTAAGTAAAATTGTTCAGCACACTTTTTTGCTTCTAGGCAGCTAAGTTTTAAGTTCCAACAACTTCTGGCTACTGAGAAAAGTTACAAAAACCAATATTTTAGTTTTTGCTTATTTGCTTAAAATTTTACTAATTAAATATACTCTGTTTATTATTAGTAATTTATTTAGCTCACCAAGGCAGACATTTTTATATATATTTTGTTTTAAACAAACAAAAACTAATCAAGTTATCCTCAAAAAGGCAAAACCTAAAACCTGTTTTTGCAGGTTTTTTCATTAGCAATTTTAGGAAAATTTGCAGGGGTGCCCCAGAAAATTCACTTTCCTGGTATCTATTAAAATTTTCTAAATATCCAATTACCTTTTCCAAACACTATACATCTTTCAGATTCTTCCTAACTAGTCTAAAAACTACAAAACAAAAAAAATTCTTTCTAGAAAACCTATTTTAACTATCCTTTATGTAACAAAAAATTAAGTATTATTACTGGCTATACAAGTTAAATAGATTACAATACTTGCAATAGCCATAGTAATATCTTTAAAAAACATATATTATTTCTATAGTAATATAATTATTTATTAAATTCTTAACAAACAAAAAATTAAAAAACCTTTCTTTATAACAAATTTGATCCAATTACAAAATGTCAACTCTCTTAAGCTCTGAATCTGACTCTGTCGATCTTGACTATTTTTATGAAAACTTTTCTAAAAGTTTTGGTATCAGAGTATACAAAGAAACCCTATTATCTTCTTATCCAATTCCTACTGGCAGACAACAAAACAACTGCTTTAACATTGAACTTAGAGGCAATACCAATGTTGTCATTATTTTAAAGCTTCCAAAACTAGTAGTATAGTTACTTGCATCTGTGACAAGTTTTACACCAACTTTGTTTCACAAAAAAACCTAACATATGAACAAACTCAATTTGGACAAGCTACTAAAAAATCCAAAGAAAAAAAACTAATTGCAACTAATATTGCTAAATCTACTGAATTCAACCTACCATCTTCAACTGCTTCATTTTCACCATCTATATACCAACATATTTGCATTAC